AGGCAAAATTCATCTACTCATTTTTGTCTTTGCTAAGAATGGTTTAGATAATTAGAGTTACACAGTAGTAAAATGATATGATTTGAAAAATTTATGGGCTAGGTCCACAGCAGTCATCTTTAAGTTTGATGAAAAGGTTAAGAGGAAGGGACAAAAAAATTTGCCAGATTTAAGATACGCTGATGGGGATGCTTTCGCGACTCACAATGGTTGAGCGAGGATCACATGTTGCGATTTTCTTTCGGAGATACGTCAGTTTAAAGTGAGGTTATTTCTTCATCAAGAATGGGGAAGTACAGAGAGTTAGAAAGGCCAGGGTGTGAAAATTTCTTTTATTTGGTCCATCTCCCATCAAACTGATGATACAAATAGGGCTTAACAAGATATCAGAGTAGAAATGGTAGTCCCAGTAGGTGGGCAGAGATGCACGCTCATTTATTAAAAATGATTAATTGATTGACATACCTTTTGAATTTAAACTCTGCTAAGAGAGTTTTTAATAAAATTTTCCAAAAATTTGACATTATGGGCTTTGTTTGTAACTTTCTGCCTGTATTTTCATTTAAGATGAAGGGATGTTAATGTGGAGAATGAAGAAAATAATTGTAAACGGTAATCAGAAAGGAAGTGTGGAAAAGTTGTTAGTGCAGTACAACGCATCGGTTTTGGTAATTCCAAAAATTCTTACTATTTTTAGCAATGGGTCTTCACTGAAAATTTAATTGAACAGTTTTAGGTGGACAGGATGCATTATGCAAATCACAAGTTTCTTGAGGAAACTGTCGGTGATAATACGTCACTGTTGGATCGATGGACCGAATGTAATCTGCTGTATCAAACTTTCAGTGCATGGAAAATACAAATTTGCTAAGGTATTTTGCTGATTTTTAAAACAAGCGGAATCGTACAATTAGTGAATATGCTACAAAACAGGCATGTTTTTGCAATCGAAACCTTCTCACTTTGTTAAACGAAATTGACGAGATGGAGACGGAGGCATCAGAAAAAAAATTATCACTAATTAGTGTAACTATGTTCATCATTACAAATCAGCAACTGAGTGTTTTTAAAATAGAATGGGGGTCTGATCTTTCTGTTTTTGAGCACTTGTCTATTATTTTGCGATTTAAAGTGACTGTAGTAAACTGAGTGAGTGTTTCGCCGGTGTATCATTGTTTTATACTTTCCAAATAAAATTGTAAGGAAAGCAGAAAGAAAGCTGTTTTTTTTTTTTTTTTTTGTCTTTCCAAGCTAATTTAAAAAACTGTCTATTTGCATCTGTCGTGACCGTAATGTTGTTCATTTTTGCATGGAATTTGAATGACATTTCTTTTTTTACCTTTAAGTATGCTATCAGATCAGAACCTTCAAAATCAGTGATTTTGAGCGTTTGAAAACTAAAACTAAAAACAGCTTTAAAATAGCCACAAAAAAACAAACGTATGAAGTGCTGAATGATAGCCCATAATGTTCATTGTTATAGAATGTGTATGGAATAGAAATAAAATTTAAATTATTTAAATTCCTTTTTTCTCCTTACTTTTTTTTTGGTAGAGGGATCAGAAAACTCTTCAAACATACAAAAGCTTTAGTAGAGTTTGAAGATTAAAAGAACACCTTATTGGGCCTTTTGAGGAGACGAAATTGCGTTAACGGTTTGTTGATATCTTAAGGAACGCCGGCAGCACCAAAAAAAAAAATGCACAAATATGGTTTAGTCCTGTCTCATTCTTTTCAGTCCTGTTTGATTTTTTAATTCTTTCTGCAGAGGGTTTCGTCTTAATCTTTTTTTGCTCATCTTTTGCAGACTGTTTAAGGACAATTATTGATAGTTTGTTGAGTGAGGAAATAATAAATAAATAAGTGCTGTTTAGGGAGTTTTTTCGAAAGCCCTGTTATGTCTCGTCCCGTGACCAAAACAACATTTTCGCCGTTCAAAGTGTATTGATGAGTTTTATTTCAGCTTTCTAAGATTTCTAGCATTAAAATAATTTGCCTTTTTTTTGCGGTATGAATTTTTTTACATATTCGAACAGCAAAATAAGAAGAAGAGGAGGGTGGAGTCACTTCGCAAATTTTCTTCTTCGTTTACTGAGCTGCAAAAATGTCTGATCGGAAAACAGAAAGCGCGAAGAACAATCCAATAGTCACAAAAAGAACAACAAGAAACTTTTGAAGAAAAATCGTGGAAGATTCCTTCATTCAAATGTTCAGCAGTAGAAGTAGAGTCTTTTAAATTGCTAAATAATTTTGCAGCTACCCTATGCTTATCAAGTTTTTTTCTGTTTTAAATGTACTAGTAAGTTTGTTTCGGAAAAATCTCCTCATACAGTACGCAAGTTTGTTAATGTGGATGTTAATATGTGGATTGACTGTTCGTTGAAGCTACTGCAATATTTATGTTGTGCAAATTAGGTATTATTGAGACGGATGCATTTAAGATAAAATCCATAAACTACTAGCGTGCAAACGTTCCCGTGTGTTTCATATATCACCATATAAAACTGTGTGACATCAAAAGGAGCAGAAAAATCGTTGTATTATATTGTTTCAGGATTATCTGAAAGGAGAAAAAACGTTTATCAGCTAAAAGCTGAAATTGGACATAACTTTTTTCCCCTGTGGCAGAAGGAGAAAGCAGAAGCAACAAGAAAAAGGTGGACTGAGCAAACATTTGGCGCTAATCTGCGAAGAAGAGCAAAACAAAAAACGAGTCGGGTTGGCGACAAAATGCTCTGATAAGAGTGACAATTAGCCAGAAGCTTGACTTCAACAACTGGCTGACTGGATCAGTCACCAGCTGACTGAGCGGCTAACTAACTGGTTGAGTGGTTCGCTTGGTAAATGAACGGACCGCGTGTTTGCGAAGGGGTAAGTGTGCTGGGTCAATTCCAAATGAACAGCAGAGGGCAGTAGCAAAGTGGTGGGGCCCCGTTGGCTTACTAACTGGGCCGTGGGGCTGCGCTTTTCCTGGTCGTCTTCCTCCTCCTTCGTTCTTCGAAGCCAATTTTCTTGCAACTCCCATATCATCATCGGCATCATCAACTGTTGTTGTTTCCGCTACATACGGATACCTCTGCAGTGGGTGTTATTTGTTACAGCTGCTATTTTTTCTATCTTTGTTGCTAGTGCTGTTTTGGTTGCTTTTTTTTGAATGCGTTTAATTTACATTTGAAATATTTATTGACAATTATTTCCGTTCGTAACGACCATCTGGATTAGAAACTAATGAAATAAAGGGAGAAGTAAAAGGATTGCTTGTATTACTCGTAGTTATCGGTCAACCAGTCGGTCACTGTTTTCGAACAATTTTATTTTCTTAAGTTTTTAGCTGACAATTTTTTTTTTTTCGCTGTTATTTTACGGATTTTTGAGGCGGAAAAAATTGGAGTTAAGCAGAGAAAAAGGGACTGAAAAGTGGGTGAGTGAGTGAACACTGCTATATGACAGGAAAATTGGCTGGTCAATAATTTTACTGCTTTTATAATGTAGGCAAATTTTGTTCCCTCTCATTAATGTTTTTCTTTTGTTTTGGCGTCCGTTTTACAAGTATTTTTCATGTTGTCTTTTATTACTTTGTTTTCTCAAAATTCTTTTCTTTTTCAAGTATTGGGTTGTTGAATAATATATTAGTGGTAGTTTATTTAAGCTTGTAAATAAATATTTTATTTAACAGTTCCAAAAGTATTTCTTGTTTTTAGCAATGCTTGGATGATGGGATCTGTTAGGGGTTCGTTCCTCGAAGTTTTCGTTGACGACGATTGGCATCGCATTTATGCATCGCTAACTGAAACAAGTTTGATGCTTTCCGCTGATGCGGAAGACGAACGTGGTTTAGGAGTGGAAACCAGATGTGTTAGGGTAGTGAAACATGACGGTAACGGACTTGGTATCAGCATTAAGGGCGGTCGAGATAATAATATGCCGATTTTAATTAGGTAGCATCCTTCAATCTCATTCGGTAACTCATTATTCAGATATGCTTGGCTGTTGATTTGCAGCTCTCTGTAAACTCGGTTTTTTTTATGGGTGGTAGTTTCTTCTGTCAGCACAACTGCTCTCATTTTCAGCAAAATATTCAAAGGTATGGCAGCGGATTTAACTGGGCAGCTTTTCGTTGGAGATGCCATTCTTGCTGTTAATGGGGAATCACTTTGCGATGCCACTCATGATGAAGCCGTAGTCGCATTGAAAAAAGCTGGACGTATTGTTGATCTTCATGGTAAGTGTAGACTGTCTCGCATTACAGTAAGGGAGCTTTTCATTGTAGTGAATGCACCAGCTCTATTTGGTTTGATGTCCTTCTCTTGTTGAATCTTATTTTCTTAAATGATGGGGCTGTTATTTCAACAGTTTTATCAGTACGTAATCTTGAATTTGCAGTTCAGTTTATGCGAAATTTCAATGGTGAGAAAACTACATTGAAAAGAGAAGATGTGCTTGAGCAGGTTCGTTGGGACGATGAGTTCCAGCCTCAAGATCACGTTAGGAACATTGGGTTGAAATTAGCTTACGTCACAAGAACTAGCTTCCTGCATGATGATGTAGAAAGCAGAATGTTTGAGATGCGATCGCCCTCCAGCAGATATGTCATAACATTTAGGTGCTTATATTTCAATAGAAAAGCTCGCTTAGTATCTGTTTAGTCCGCCATGTTTTCTTCATCTACAGTAACTTACAGTCGGCAGTAAAATCAGCTTAAATTTTTTTTTCTTGGGCACCGTCTCTTTCTAGTATTTTTTATTGTCATAGTAATGACACAGTTTTATCTTAAATGTACATTTACTGAGCCTTTTCTGGAGCGAAATTTGTGATCTTGAAACAAATTCCAGATGCAATAGTTCAAGTGAGGCCGACGCCTGGTTTGAGAGCGTTCATGCATGCGCCTCGGCTTTATTAACTCAAGCTCTCGCACAGGTCAATTTAATGCTGGGACAAACCCCTCAAGTTCGGCGCATAGGGTGGCTTTCGGAAAGGGTACTTCGGTCATTTTTTAATTCAGAAACGAAGAGGTTTTACAATTTTAACTAAAAAAACGCCTTATTGTCTTGCTTGTTTCTTACTAATGTTTCCTTATTATTTTCAAGCTACATTAGTATTCGAAAAAATTTAAGTAAACTTTAGGTTCCTAGTGAGTCATCCGGTTTGCTTTGGAAGCCGCTGTTTGCTGCTTTAACACTCAATGACCTGTTGTTGTATGATTCTGTTCCTCAACTAAAATCTGAATGGGCTTGCCCCTCCGTTACACGACCACTAATAGCAACTCGTGTGGTCCAGACAACGTCTCGGTATATTTTTCTGGGTTATTAAGTATGTGATATCAAAAGAGTAGGGTTTTTTTTGGTTAAGAGGCGTCAGTTTTACCGTTCTTACCGTTATTTGTTTTACAAATTAACGATTTTCATTTCACATCAGAAAGTTAATAACAAAAGACCCATTATGGTAGCTTTTGAGGTGCAGAAATTTCCTTTATATTTCAGAACTGCGCCTGTAATAACTGGCTTATCCGACATAATTTCGTTTACCACTAGAACTGGAACCCAGCAGGGAGTTCGTTCTCATGTTTTTCGCGTTGAGACTCACAGAGAGTTAGCTGCCTGGGTGAAGAGAATCGTTACAACTACATACGAAGCATGCGCAGAAACCAACCAAGTCTCTTGCCGTAAGCTGTCCAGTGTTAATTTTTTCCTTGCAGGTTTCAGGCCATGGCGAGTTGTTTCTAAACATATTAGACATTCGTCCCTTTCCTTAATGTGTATTCTTTTCAACAACAGCCCTCCATCACTGATAGTGAGGAGTTTATAGATCTATCTATCGGTAGTTTGAATGCAGTTAATTAACGCTGCACTGAAACAGTGGAACTGTTGCTAAACACGTAGTTCTCTTTCTTGCTCTTGGGTCTGTAACTTTAAAGTTTCCGTTCCCAGATACTTGCAATTTTTTGAAGATGGATATACATTTATGTAATACTGTCAGTTATCCATGTTAGTAATGACTTTTAAAGCTCAAAAAGGAATGTAGACTTTGGCTATCTGTGCGTGGGTTTGGTCATTTAAAGCTGTTTACCAAAATGTTTCGAAAGGGAGGATAAATTATTAAGCAACCAGCTCTGTCCACTTTATTGGTAGAGCTGGTGCGTATTAAAAACAACCGCAAAAAGAACTCACCTATTGCTTGCGACAATGAGCTTTTGAAAACGTTAGTTTGAAGAGAGCGGTTGTTCCTTTAATACACAGAACTCCAGATTAACTCTCTACCGGAAGGTAGCTAACTGCTTTTGACTAAAAGCGGCAACAGCTTCGCAAGTGCACTCCCAACAGGCCTCTTTGAAAGCAAAGCTTCTTTCTTTGAACTTTATTTTAGCTTGCTTGTGGCGTGATGAACAATGTGAACTTGTACTTCAATTAGATAAAGGCATTAGTCTAATAAGTCGAGACGACCAAGTCCGGTGGCACTATCCTTTTGAAGCAATTAGAGCGACAGGTGATGATGGACAGAGAGTACTTTGGATTGATTTCGGACCACCAAATGATGAGCACGTCAGTAGTCACTTCGATTTTTTAATATTAGACATAGTGAAATACCAGAGCTTATTAGTGAGTTTATTTTCAGGAACTAGATCTCTTGTCATCTCCAAAACCTGTAGTCTTCATACTGCACTCATTCTTAGCTACAAAGGTATATCGTTTGGGTCTTTATGTATAAATGCGCATCGGACTCGAGACAACGGTCAAGAAATGCTTAGTACTGGTTGGAGCCAGGTCAAAGCTGACGAGAATGCACTTCGCATCATTAG